AAGAAAATGTTTTCAACACCACGGGATCTGGTGACCGATGGATGTGTTTCATCAATACCTTTTACCAGGTTAAAGAAGTTTCCCTTTATTCTTAGTTTGCTGGTGGTTTTTTATCAGGAATGGATTTTATCAAGTTCTTTTCCTGTAACTATTGAAATGACAATTTTTCTCTTTTAACCTATTAATGACATTAACTGACACGGCTACATTTTTTTTTTTTTTAATATTAAACCAAACAGTATCCTGTGATAGATGGAGTTGGTGGACTCACTGGCCTTTCTAAGGCCCCACGTGTGCACTCATAAATAAGGCTGAATTTTATTTTCTTGCACTGTTCTCGTCTGGTTTTGGCACTGAAGTCACATAAGCCTATAAGATGCTTCCTAAAGGAGCATGCAAAGGATTAGAACTGTGTGCTCCCTGAAGACCACGAGAACTCTCCCAGGGAGCCATCTGACTGTGGGACGCTTCTGGAGGAGCTGCGAGGCCATCCAGTTCCCACTGCCTCTCCAGTCATTGGAATAAAGCTGCTTCTAGCATTCTCTCGTCACCTCTCCCACCTGTTCAGCTGCGACCTTGTCCCCACTTTTACATCTAACGCTGGTCCCAATGGCAGGTGGGGTGGGGTGGAGGCTGCCTGAGCGCCCAGATGTGCACGTTCTCTTAGGCCCTTTCTATTTCATGCATTTCAGTTCTTATATCGATTACTATTAATACCCATGTATTTACTTAATATTGTTCATTATAATTAATGGGATTTAATTATTATTGATATGTAATCCTTATTATTAATATCATTAGTTTTAATTAATGATATTGTCATTTCCTTGTTCCTGTTGGAATTATTCTGTGGCACTTTTCTCAACTTGCTGTGGGGGGAGGACTTCCCAGTCTCTCACTCCCTCTGACGTAAGCACCTGCGTTACTGCCCAAGAGGGTTTTCGTCTCTCAGGACAGCTGGCCCAAGCGCCTCGGGCCCCTGCTAGGGCTGCCACAGCCAGCTCCCCACCCCAACTGTCCAAACCAGGACCCTCCCCAGGGAGAGGAGAAGGGGGACAGTTCAAGAGACCCCGCATTTTCTTAGAGGGTGTTTTACCCGAGGGCTGGTTTAAGCCGTCCTTAGGCTTGGACATGCTTTCAACTGGATTCAACATGCAGGTTAACACCTGCCCCCCCATCAATCGGCTGGGATCGAAAAGTAGAAAATTAGGTATGGCAATCAATCAATCAATCTAATTTCAGTGTGAGTTAGCTTTGATGACTTTGCTATAATAATTATATATAATTCTTATGATTAGAAAATCTCAAACTTTTCAATCAAGGACAACAGCTATTTACAGGATTCTTGCGAGGTGTTCCCGGGCACCCAGCACCTTTCACCTCATCAACAGCGCCACCATCCATGTGGCAGAGGGAGCCAGCCTGTGGCTGGGGGTGAGGAGAAGGGATGCGGGTCCCAGGTGAGGCAGAGCGGGGGAGCAGGGAGGAGTCTAGCAGGTAAGTGGCTGCCCCAGCCACCAGGGCAGGTCAACCCCACACGTGGACGCCCCCCTGGAAACTCAGTGCCATGGACCCTGGAGTCAGAGTGCCTGGCTGTCTGCAAACCTCCTCTGTGGCTCCTGCTGGCTCTGTGTTCTCTTTCAGGGGGCCTCGGGGAGGAGGCAACCTGTACAAATTCTGCAGCAGGGCCAGGGCGTGCTCAGGGCAGAGAGCGCGCTCAGTGGCCCAGGCCCTGGCTCCATCTCTGCTTGACAGAATCAAAACCAAACAGCAACAAAACAAATTCTGGGCAAAGAACATTTTCTACACTAGTCTGTAGTTTTTGCAGGAGCTGAAGTGCCCTGGGACGAGCTCAAAGAAAAAGGCGGGAACCAAAGCCAAGTTTGGCAGAAACCAAGGAAGGTGCCGAGAGAGAGCCTCCAATGAGAGGCTCCATGAGAGGCTCGCTGGGCCCCACAGGCTTTCCCAGCCTCTGGCAGAGGGAGACCACCTGTACCACTCCCGGGGCCTCCTGCAGAGTCCTCTGCATGAACTCACAGTGAACCTACTTCCACAGCAGGAGCAGCACTCCTGCGCCTGAAGTAACTATGAGAAAGTCACTAAGTAACTAGACATTTCCATTAGCTCACTTAACATCCACAGAGCACACGGGAGGAAGGGGAGATGGGGAGGTGAGGCCAGGGTGCAGAGCCACAGGTACTGGGATGAGCAGGTGTGCAGAGCTGGCTGCAAGGGTGCGGTGGGGCGTGGTGGGGTGGTGGGGCCTGGCAGTCGGACCGTGTCACAGATTTCTGCTGAATGTGATTTTAGCTGCTCTTTCCGCAAATAAAGGAATAGCTCTGAGCCATGGTGGGTATGTTAATTTGCTTCATCACAGTGACCACTTTAAGATCTGCACATATCCCGTGACATCATGTTGTATGCCTTAAATATACCCAATAACACTTATTTCAAAACACATAGTAATTACCAGAGGTTTGATAACTATTAATGGTGCTAAAAAATTTCCTTTTCAAAGTGTCTTTTAAAAGTGGGCGAGTGGCAAGCCATCCGCTCTCAGGCATTGCCTTCCTCCTGTGGGGCCTGGAGGGTGCTGAGGAGTGAACCCAGGGCCTCACACATGCAGGCAGGCGCTCTGCCCAGCCCAAGGCATTTCCAATCTGACAGGACCAAAGTCAAGCCCCTAGCCCACCGAGAACACAGGACAATCTGTACAAAAACTGGCCTTGATTCTCCCCCCTTAAAAAAATCAATTTAATAGATAAAAAAAGGTGATATGGGGGGAGAGAATAGACGTGTGTGCGCTGCCAAACCCAAATGCAGCATGGGAACCGACTGCGCCCAGGGGGGACGGGGCAGGGCAATTCCAAGAGCAGCTTGAGAAAGTAGGGAAATGAGATTCTGGACAAGGGCTGGATAACCTGGAGTCACTGCTCTGTCCCCAGGTGTGGGTGGTGATCACTGTGGCAATGCTGGGCAATCTTCCTGCTTCCTTAGTTTAGGGGACACACACACAGGTTTAAGGGCACAGTGTCATGCTTGGAAGCAAAAATGACCAAAGTGGTCTTGGCACCATGGTGAAAGCACAAACAGCCGGACAGGGTCAGACTTCGTGGATCAGCTGAGCCTTTTTTCAGCAGTGAGGCCCAGCGTCACTTTCTGGATAGAAAATGGCCCCTGGTCACAGGAGGAATCTGTGCCTATATAGGCTTCACTGCAAAGTGGCTTAACCATTCAAGACTAACAGAACATATCAGGGCCCCCAGGAGACAGGCTGAGAGAATCTGAAATTTGTTTGTACTGGGCAAATGTGTTTTTCTGGGCAAGGATGGAGGGTCCAGAGTTCGGCACTTATCCCCCCCACCCCCAGGGTCTACTGTATGTCTCTGGGAAAGCACATATTGGGAGAGGATCAATGCTTGCTTTTCCAGGGATTGTCCTGTCACTGGGTGATGACTGCTTCACTCCCAGGGATTGTCCTGTCACTGGGAAAGGATCGATGTTATCAGCGTTCTGCTTTCTTCCTCCCTCCCTCTTCCCAGGCCACTCTGTTTTGGGGCTGTCATTTCCAACCCTCAACGCTACCCACCACTTATTCCCACATGTTTAGAGAAGGCTGGGTGGAGAGCAGACGTGGCAGACGCCAACAGGTGGGCAGCTGGGTGGAGGTGCACAGGTGTCAGTTGCACTGAGCCTTCTATCCTTAAGCGGCTTCAAAAATTTTCAAAACAAAAGAAAAACAAGCAGACACAGAAGCCTGCTGGGCTCTTTGCAGGCAGAGAAACCCTAAGCCAGGGGCCTCCCAAAAGCTTCGGAACAGAGAGCAGATAAGATCAAGTGCAGGAACATGTCAGGTAAGTGTCACTCATCAGGTGAGGATCTGGAGACAGACATCAAGGACAAGACTATCCAAGGCATCAGAGGCCTGGGATCTGGGCAGCCTGCTGGGCCTCACCTAGCCAAGGACATAGGCACTCCACGAGGCTGGGTACATAAAAAAGAGGGACACTGATCCACCTGGGGAACTCCTCACTGGCACTGCAGCTGCTCTTCTCCATGGACCTGGGGTGTCCTGGCATCTCCTTCTGGCCTCCTGCCTGCCCAACACACCTCCTCCCCTCCCCTCTGCTGTCACCTGCCTGCTGAGGGTTTGCCAAACAGGAGCTACTACCGCTGGAGCCCTGGGCCAGGATTCTAGCCTTCCCAAGCGGGCACCAGCGTAAGGCACCAGTGTCCAGGCTGACCCACAGGGGAACCAGGGACCGCAGGACGACAGCACTCCTCAGCCCCCCAAAACAGCCCTCCCTTCAGGCCCTCCCCTCCTGGGCCTGCAGGTCACCACTTGCATCTTCTTGGAACCTGCTGTCGGCACAGGGCCGGGAGGAAGCCGCCCTCCTCCACCCTCGGCGCTCTCTGTGGGCGCCGTTCCTGTTCTCAGGCAGCAGACATCACAGGATGTCTCGGGTGACACGCTGCAGTTGTCTGCCAGACAGCTCAGCCATTCTCTGGAAGGAACCACTAGAACACACTCCCTCACACCAGCAGGCTTCCTCCTGTGATTCCTGCCTGGCCTCTGGGGTTCAGATCCAGTGAAATTCCTCCCCTACAACCCTCAGAAAGCACCAGAATCTTCTGTCTGTTCCCATCTATTCCCTGCAGGAGGCCTGGGGCAGCAGCAGCCCAGACTCGCTCATAGCACAGGGCGACCCCTTGAGGTGTCCGTGGGCTCCTAAGGCCATGGAAGTGCAACCCTGCAGGGCATCTGTCCCCTGAACCCCCGACACCTTTCCACATCAACATGCAGCTTCCCTTTCCAGAAGGACTCGCACTGAGGACCCGGAGGGGAAAGTCCCATTACGAGTGCAAAGTCTGCACCATGTGGGGTCAGTGCAGCTGATGAGGCTCTGCCTGGGCAGATGTCCTGTCAATGGCATCGACTCAGTGAGACTGAGAGGGTAGGCACAGGGTGGCTGGGGTATGGACTGAAGGCGAAGGCTTACCTCCCCCTGGAAGCTCTTCAGCAGCGGCGCTACCTGCTTGCGCAAATCCTGGGGCAGCAGCAGCGGGGCAGCAGCAGCGTGGGGAAGGAAAGAGAAGGGAACACTGGTTAGCGCTTCAAGGCAGCTCTGAGCCCCAGAGTTCTGAGCTGATGCCCACTATGTAAAGCCCTCTCCCAACCCGCGTGCCCACTTGGGAACTGACACTCCCTTACGTGAGAGCACAGCGGGTCTCACTTCCACTAAGTCCCGGTTAGAACGTGCCATGGGCTGCAGTCCCCATGTCGGTCTAAGTGGGGTCACTGAGGCTGCTTCTCTCGGGAAGGCCTGGGCCACTGTCGTGTTTCAGCAGCTGTCTTGTGCCCTGCTAACGGGAGGGCCAGCCTATTCTGAAGCCCTGCCTGGCAGTCACTGGGCACTCCACCCTGAGCCAACAGTCCTGTGCCCATGCTGTAGGAGGGGACAACCTGTCCACATACCCCTACGATCTCGAGGATTTACTTTAAGGCGTGTAAACCCCTGTCTGAGCAAGACCTACACGCCAGATTGGATTCACTACGTCTGGGACAAGAACATCCAACAACTTTTTTCAGTTCCAGGCTGACCCAGATGTATGTGCCCATCTGAAACCGGCCAGGGCTGGTAAGGACAGACACCAGTCAGACCAAGGCACAGGAAGAAGATAAAGTATTATTTTAGAAAAATAAACCTAACGCTATGAGAAAACACAGGGGGAAAGATAAAGTCAAATTATGGTGGTGAGGAAGTGCTTCACAGGGACAGTGGGCGAGCTGGGGAGAGGGGCAGGACTTTTGCAGCTGATAGCAGAGGGCCAGGGCTGGGCTCTCAGGGCGCCTGCCCCTGCCCTGTCACCAGAACACCCTCAGAACAAAGGCCAGCAAGGCACAGGTAAACCTGAGCCTGCGCCTGGACTCTGTGGACCCGGAGTGAAGGCAGGCAGGAGTGGGGGCTGGGGTAGAGTTTCAAGGGGTTCAGAACAGGGAGGGGGACGGCAGATCTGGGCAGCGCTGATTCCGACTTCTGGCTCAGCCACTCTAACTGTGGGACAAGGGAAGTCACTGTGTTTCTGAGCCTCAGCCACCATCTCTAAGTGCCTAAGGGCGGCTTCGTCTTCCTGGGAGGAGGTGGCGGCAGGTGGGGCTGGGGCAGGCTGCTTGGCTCCTGGCACTCCGGCCTTTCCAACTGGGGCCCAGTGAGCCTGGCACCTGGACAGTCAGCCTCACACAGAGATGGATGAGGGGAGCCCCGCCACCCTGGGGCAGTGGGGAGCCCAGTCCTCTCCCACTCTGGGATGCTGCAGTTCTAGAACTCGCTAGAGGTGTGCCAGCTTTGGTAACTGCCTGTTCAACAGCATTTTGGGTTCCATTAGCCAAGCTCCTAAATCAAAGGGCCCTCCATGCTTAGCTCTTGCAGATGGACTCCCCCAGACATAAAACTACCCATCATCTCCTCAGGGCCGCCTATGGCCTACCCAGGGAGCCCTGGTTAGGAAATCTCGCTCCAGGAGGTGCCGTCCAGCGCGGGGGCCGATGGCCACGTGTGGCTATTTATGTCTAACTGTAACTTAATTAAAGCTAAATAAGGTTGGAGAATTCAGCTCCTCAGCCACTCTGGCCACGTGAGGCCGGCAGACCCAGAACGTCCCCAGCACTGCAGGGCCCACGAGCAAGGCGGCTCCGTGAGCTTCTGTGAAGGAGCCACCCCACGTGACTCGGCCCCTCACTGCACAGACAATTTATCCCCCTCTCAGGGACATGCTTTTCCGAGAAAGATGCACTCCTAAACATGTTCCCTATTCCCTAGAGAAGACCACGTTTCAACTCCTCCACTGGATGGTTTTCTGGATTCCTTTTTTTTTTTTTTTTTAATATTTACTTATTTTTATGTGGTGCTGAGGATCGACCCCTGGTGTCCTGGCAGTGTCCGTATAAGAGGGAGGCAGGAGTGCCGGGGTGAGGGAAGGGGACTTGAGGACAGACGCAGGGTCGGAATGCTATTGGGGTACAGGCCAGGGACCGAGGGCAGCTGGGGAGCTGAAGGAGACCAGGACAGACCCATCGCTGGTGCTGCTGAAGGGAACATACTCGGACCACATCTTCGCGATGGCCTGGTAATCCCGTTTGGGATTTGTGGGCTCTGGCCTCGTCAGATAACAGATCCCTGTAGTTCTGGCCTCTAAGACCAGGTGAGCGGCTGCAGCAGCGGTGGGAAGGAAAAGCAGGCGGGTTCTTACCCTCTGCACTCCTCAGAAGGTGGAGGGCAAAACGTAACACTGCGAGGGGATGAGGGGACAAGGGCCACCAGGGTTGATGCCACATTCCAAACACCATGAATCAGCCACAGTGCTTTGCAGGAGGCCTGGTCTCCCTGGGCAGTGATGCAGGAGGGTAAGTGCAGGTGGGAGGTGTGTGTGCCTTGCCGGTGGTGACCTGGTGCCCTGCCGGGAGTGGAGACCGTGGTGGGGGCAAGGGAGGGCGCAGGCAGACTCCCCTGGAGAGAGGGGGTTCTCCCCCTCCCCAGGCAAGGACAACAGGAGAATGGCCACGTGGCACGGCTGTGGTCCAGGACAATGGATGGAGTTAGCGTCCGTTTCCGCAGAGGCTGAATGTGCATGAAGGTGGCCTGGTTGGGAGGCGTGGCTGCCTTGGCCAGCGTGGGCTAAGAGGGATGCCACTCACCCCGCCCGGGGCTGACAGTCCATGGCACCCAGGGCACCAGAATCGCCTCTAACACACTACACGAGCGACCCTCCTCTCACATGGGGAGGCATAGACACGTGCGCATCTTATTTTTAAAAACTAAAACATGAAAAAATCAAGGAAAATAAGCCAATGAGAGGCTTGCCTTCCAACTGTCAGACGCCAAGGAGCTGGACTGGAAGCTGGCTGCTCGCCCCAAGGGGACTATGTTCATGGGGTGGCCCTCAGGCCCTGCCCTGCAATATCTGACAGCCAGTAGCCCCTGCTCACCCCTTGGACCCTGAGCAGTCCCCTGGAGACAGGCAGGGTGGCCCAGCACAGGCTACGCTTCCCGGCATTCTTCCCTCTGAGCTCCAGACAGGGACTTGGTGACAGGAGCGCAGCCTCTGCTTTCCAGCTGGGGCTGCTGCGGGTGGCGTGGGTTCTGCCTGTCCCTCTTCCTGCAGCTTCCAACACAGAGCTAGGTGGCATTTTGCTGAGGACACCCAGGCACGGGTGGGTTGAAGACTCTAGAAAGTTGGAAGCTGAGTCCCCCCACACCAGACCCCATGTCTGCTTCCCCAGGGGGCTAACGGGCCCTTTCCTGCTGACCCCACTCTTGGGGCAGGCTGCAGTGTGGCCCGGGCCTGGAGCACAGGTGTTCTGCAGTCTGGGAACTGGCAGTGGGTCGGGTCGGCAAGAAGACCGAATCTGGACCCGCTGCCCTGGGTGTTAGCTTGACCTTGGGCCACATGTCAGGCCAGCACTGGTTTCCTCCATGCTACAAGGGCCTGGCACACCAGAGGGACTCAGCCCTGAGTGGAGTGGACATGAGCGCAATGAAAGAACAAGTGGAGAACAGACGACCCTCCAGGGGGGCTGAGACCCAGCAAGCGGGAGGTCGCAGCCTACAGAAGAGCCCTCGGGCCTGGGTTCCTGCCTAGGGTGGCTCTGTCCACTGCAGGCCAAGCCAGCCACACACAGCTTCCTGTTCTCTAGTGCCACCCTGACGACGCAGCTGGAATACGTGAAGTTGGCTTTGACTTCATTTCACCCAGCGTGTCCCAAATGCGACCCTTTCACAAGAAATTGATGTAAAAATTAACAAGGTTTTTTTTACGTATATTTCCATTTTATTTTATTCATTGAGTTTCATTTCTGCTTTGAGGTTCTACTGTCTGCTGTGCACTGCATGCTCAGCTCACCGTCTCAGTTAGGACTGGCCAAGGTCAAGTGCCTGTAGCCACACGGCTGGCAACCTCTACCCTGGGCTGCTTGGGCTGAGAGACATCCAGTTGGGGCTCTCCTGGGAGGGGGGTGGCAGGGGCAGGGGGACGGCAGGGAGTGCACGGGGCCAAGTGAGGAGGGAGCTCAAGAGGGAAAAGGCGGTCACTGTGTCAATGCTGCTCCGAGATGAGGACTAGGAAGGGACTGCTCATGGGATGTCGTAGCTTGAGCTGAGCAGGGGACGGAACCAGCTCAGCAAGTGCAGGAACATCCTGAGAAACCTGGAGTCCAGGGGAAGGAGGCAAGAGAGACGCACAAGGTCTGAAGTGACAACTCGGTGTCTGCCACGAGCTGAGCACTGGAGCCACGGGTTCCTCACAGTGACCCCACCAACATGAGGGACAGGTCTGCTGTCCGGACAAGACCCTGAGGCTCAGAAAGGGAGGGGAATTTGTTCAAGATTACAGAGCTGGAAGGGTTAGAGTTTGAACCCAGATATCCCTCTAAAGTCCACACCACAGTGAGGTTTTGTAAAGGATGTAATCATGGTGGCCCCATATGGGCACAGGCACAGCATACAGAGGCCACCCAGATGGCAGGCCACACGGTGGTGGGGTCGGGCACAGGGTATGTACAGGCCCATTACTCCAAGGCTTATCAAGGCCCAAATTCAGAGAGAAACAGTGAAGCTGGATGGGGCCATGGAAGGAGAAGGGCAGGGGAGCCGAGACGCGGGCCACAGCAGGTGCCCCCCAACCCTGCCCACCTGGCACAGGGCTGCCTCCTGAGAACACCAGCTCAGGAGGTGAGAAAATCATTTCTACAGTCTATGGCAGAATCCCAGCTGGGCCAAAGAGCCTCGCCTGCCCTGTGTCCTTACATAAAGCAAACTCCTCTTTAGCAACATGCTGTTCTTTTTTAAAAACAAAAAAAAAAAACCATTTATTTGAGCATTTGCAAGTCTTGCGGCGACCCCCTGAAACAAGCTTTGGTATTAAAGCTGGACGTGTGTTTGCACACGCATGCGCACATGCATGTTTAGAGACAGTTGAGAGGAAAAAACCGCTATATGTTCACACATCACACGCAAACTGACACCGCCGCGCTCCAAGTCACCAGCTAAAA